TGAAGGACCCAAGTTCCCTTCTGCTGCCATGGTAGCCAGGAGCCCTTTGAGATCACCGGCCCCTCTTGCTCCTCCCTCCCCCGACTGGTGGCTCTGTCCCGGCAGGGCCCAGCTGGCAGGGCCGCTGAGGGGGAGAGCAAAAAGTCGGTCACATGCGGGTTCTTCCCGGAGCCCCGCGCCGGCCCCCTGCCCCTTTCTCCCCTGGGCCCAGGAGACCTGACCCAGAAAATGATTCCTCCCCGTTTGGAGCAGGGCTCCAGCGTGCTCCCAGGCCGGGTGTTGCAGGTCAGGCTGGCGTGGCCCCTCGGCACATAGCCCAGGGCGTGACTATCACCCCGACCGGTTTGACATCACGAGTCACACGTCGCTGGTTACACCGGTGGTCACCAAGCCGTCGTCAGGCTCTACCGTTAGATCTTGGAGCCTGTGATGGGGAACCTGACGGGTTTGTCCAGGAGGCTGCCAAGTGCCGGAACTTCATCTGCCCTTCTCAGCATGGCCATGCTGCTCCTGCCTTGTACCTCGGAGGAGTCCTCACCCCTGGGAGCCTCCTGCCTGCTGTGCGGGGCACAGGAAGGAGAGGAAGGGGGGTGCTGATGTCAGGGTGCCCCTCCCTCTGTCCTGTACCCCATCTCCATGGGGGGGGGAGGGATGGAGGGAGTTTGCTGGCTGCTTTTGGGAGTGGTGCAGGGCCAGGGTAGGGGTGACCCTGCCTTAGCCCCACTGCACCACCCGGAAGCCACCTGTAGTAAGTGGTGCCCAGCTGGAGCCTGCATTCCGAACCCTGCCCCAGTCCTGAACCCCAAAGCCCTGCCCCCAGCCTGATAAACATGCATGAGGATGCGGGAGGGAGGATGGAGCGAGCAGGGGCAGGGCCTCGGAGAGAGGGCGGGAATGAGGCGGGGCCTGGCAGTCTGGGTTGCAGGTAGCTCCTGGATTGCACGTACATTCAAGCAGCAATCTGGTGCTTCGAAAGGTTGGGCCTGGCTCCCCATTTTGTTCCATTGAACCCGTGGGCGTGGCAGTGGAACGCTTTGGGGGGGCAAGGCCGGAAGAGAGGGGAAAGCGCGGGAACGCTGTAGCTGAGCAACGGGAGTTAATAAGTAAGTGGCTAGGAGGAGGGGTCGGATAGTTGGAACTTGTCGCTCCCGGCTCCGTGGGAAGCGAGTTCGAAAGGTTGGGCCTGGCTCCCCATTTTGTTCCATTGAACCCGTGGGCGTGGCAGTGGAACGCTTTGGGGGGGCAAGGCCGGAAGAGAGGGGAAAGCGCGGGAACGCTGTAGCTGAGCAACGGGAGTTAATAAGTAAGTGGCTAGGAGGAGGGGTCGGATAGTTGGAACTTGTCGCTCCCGGCTCCGTGGGAAGCGAGTGGCGGGTTTGCAGCGACGGTTCAGGCGCCCAAGTGGGCACATCCGGGAACTGTTGGGTGGACGGGCCCGGGAAGCGGACTGGCCTGCTTGGAAGACTCCGGCTCGCTGGGTGAACACTCAGTCACCACGGTGCAAAGGGGTTAGAGTGGGACCCTCCAGAGGGACTTACCTGGGCTCCAGCCGTCAGCTCTCCAGTGCTAGTCATGCTGTTCCTCAGCAGATTCCTTCAGTCACCAGGACACAGGTCGCTCACCAGCCAGTCTCCTTCCCACGCTGTCTGGATCTGCAGGCATGTGGGGTTACGCAGGTGCCGGATCCCCTTCATCCTCCCCTTCCCCGATCTTCCCCCGCCCCGAGTGGATAGTTGCACATATGTCTTGGTGCACAGAACAAAATTTATTCTGCACATGAATGGAAAAAATGTAGAGGAACACGGATGGACAGCCCACAAAGACAAACAGAAAGTGCCTTTAAACGCCATATGGCCCCACGCCTCCCGGATGCAGTGGGGGAGGGGCGCCAGGGTGGCAGTCTGCCCTTGTTGGAATAAACTTCCTTTTCTCTGTTGGCTTCTCTCTGCTCCAGCCTGATACATCCCTTCCAGCCGTGCTCTGCTGTCCCCAGTTACCGTGCGTACACTCTCAGCCGGGCCCTTCCGTGCCACACGGAGTCTCGGTCCCCATTAGAACAGCGGGTCTCAAACTTGATGGCTCGCGGCCCACCCCACTCAGTGCAAACCTTTCCACAGACCGCCCGCCAGCCATGGCGACACAACACCTCCGCTTCGCTCTGAACACCTTGAATACGAGATTCATCGTGTTAGGCGACTGGAGCCTAAACACGTAACTACGCAGCCGGGCCAGAAGGGGGCGCATGTGTCTGGGGAGAAAGGAAATAGGATTAATGATCAGAATTGTTACCCCCACACTCGAGGGGCTCGCTCCTTTCCCCATTCCTAGGGCTCAAGGTGCAACCCTGTTAATTGAAATACCCCCCAGCCAATTCCTAGGGCTCACGGAGGAACTTCCTGTTGCAGGCCCTTCCCCCGGTGAGAGAGACGCCCACGGCAAGGCCTGATCTATTAGCAATGGCCAAGCCCGCGCAACACCCATGCTAAGCACACAGGGCCCTGCTCACCACCCTGACCCAGGCCGGCGAACTTGCTCTGGGGCCAAGCAAGGCCAGTCTCCTCTGGATCCCAGCTGCTGCGCCTCATGTCGTGCAGAGGAGTCCTGGCAGCCCTGGTCTTACGCTGGGTCTTGGAGGTGAACTCTTCTTCCAGGCCTTCCCTCCTCCTCCTCCTCCCTTCTGTTTCCTCCTTTTCCTGCCGGTCTCCTTCTCGGACCCCAGTTTAGAGAGTGAAACTCGAGTCCTGCTTTCCCCACTGCTCCCACTGGCCAAATGGGATGGCTCCCCCACCCCCCACCGCCCCAGCCCAGCCCTGGTCTTACGCTGGGTCTTGGAGGTGAACTCTTCTTCCAGGCCTTCCCTCCTCCTCCTCCTCCCTTCTGTTTCCTCCTTTTCCTGCCGGTCTCCTTCTCGGACCCCAGTTTAGAGAGTGAAACTCGAGTCCTGCTTTCCCCACTGCTCCCACTGGCCAAATGGGATGGCTCCCCCACCCCCCACCGCCCCAGCC